AGAAACAATTGGTCCTGGGTACCAGTTTTTGGATGTCTAGTGGGAGGAGTGGTAGGGGCAGTTGTATATATATTTACCATTGAAATCCATCACGTGATTCAAGAAAATACCGACGAGGTCGAAATGGATCGAGTGGTTACCAATGCCAATAACCAAGGCTTCGATGCCGGAAGCAAGGAWGATATGGTTGGCAAGAATGAYAGCTGTCAATCAACCGCTCCAGGTTCCTCAACTACTAYGGACAATAAAAATAATGCCGATGCTAATGGCACAACCAAGCTATAAATAAAAATACCTTACATATATATCCATTCTTTGGACCAAAACTTGTGACAGACCCGCAATTATGCAATTTAAAGTGYATATGACGCCTTTTAGAAGATCATAATTACTCGAAATAGAGCATGCCACTGAGCATTGATTTCTTTGAAAGATTGATTTCGAATACTATTTTGTGAGCCATTAGGATGCAACTAAAAAAAAAGTCTTGTAACTGAGGAGGTTTTACAATAAAACGAAACTAGTTTTACAGACAATACAAGCTGATCGTGCGTCAAGACCGAAAAAGTCAAGCCTTAACATACTTGAGGAAATCAAGATGAAATTAATATCAAAGTCTTGCGAGGCCAAAATACTAAATATATCGAAGAATTGCAACTAAATTAAATCTAAGGAATTGGGCTGGAGTTCCCTCGTTGTTTGAGTTAACTTGTTTTGGTTGAAGTTGTCAAATCCGATCAAGACAGTGATGTTTGAGAAATAAAATGTTATTTCKAGTGTAACAAAATGAAGAATGTCCTCATTTTCAATTTTCAAATCAGAAGATATAAATTCGAATTTTTAAATATCCATCACAGAATAGCTCATTGGCATATCTCTTTCGGATAAAATGATTTTCTAGARGACGTCCTCATCCTCGTTACCAGGGCTTCCCTGTTTGCTTTTATTTCAAAWTGGCGAACAGAAAAAGCCCCGACATCGGCCGATCACGTGACAGCTCAGCTGTGTGTTTTTATAGAATACCGCTGARGAATAATGCAGGGACAGTCAAAGTGATGCATTTCAACTACTTTATTATTCATTACAAACACTGAATATCATACCGGAACATCTCGAGACAAAAGATAAAGCGCTTAGGGTTAGTACAACCTGAACGTCMTCTTTCCGTCTTTGAAGGTTTCGTTTCCAACTTAAAATTGTACAAAGCTTATGTCATCTGGTGTATCCTAATTGATAAATAATAGAATTGTTGTGCTTTGTGTAGTTGTAGTTGAATTTTTTTTGCAATATATGTTATATTACGCGCTCTTTACACACGAACGGATGACACCATTTAATCTTACGTTCGCTCTGATTGGTCACGCTCTTTTGTGTTCGTTCAACGGTTTAGATGAAATTATGCACGTTGGAAAAAAAATAGAGGCAAGTATTATATAAAAAAATAGATTCCCTTTTTCCGTGCGTCTTTACTTTACTTTAGTAGATACACAGATGACGTCAAAATGTGACTAGAACAAAAAAGTACGCCAAGAGTCGAGAATCTATTTGTTAAATAACATTGAGCAAAATTTTTAATATTGACTGTCTTATTCCTGTCTTAGTGTGTACCTCGTCTAATTTCGCCTTTWACACTTCCACTTCCGAATTTCACATTGTTCATAAAACTAATACTGATAAAAAGGATACAAGTTTATCAAAAATAGTCTTAAAGATCTTTAAAATTCCTGGCTTGAAGCACAATCATGACCAAAGTCTTTGAAATGGCAAAGCATCCTTTTACTTCCACTTTCCACGTTGAATTATCTATTTTATTTTATGCTTTGAACTGGTATTATTCGTCCATTCGCTCGTGATATCGCCCCAGCTGACTTGGACCACACATCATGTTTACTGGTAAAGCTTCGTCTGTTRGAACGAACCGGAAGAAAAAAAGTCATAAGGAAAAACACAATACGCCTTCTGCATAAAACTGTCACCCAGAAACCTATAAGGGAATTGAAACGTGTAACGCCGTGCCAACCGTTGGAATATTCAAATATAATTTTGCATCTCAATTCCTTATTTGACCTTATTAGGAACAATTGAATTTAYCCTATAGCCAACCAGAATGGGCCTTAAATCTCTTATCCAACGGCCGAATTTTCCAAATATGGTCATAACGTTCATTTTCGAATTTTTAATGAGCTTTGAAAATTYCGACGCTTGGYACTAAAGAAATGTAYGGGCGYTACACGTTTCAAGTCCCTTATAGGTTTCTGATGGTACTAAATCCACCATACTGAATGGCAAGAGAATGTAAACAACCTCAAAAACAAAAGGAACGCAGCCCATCAAGCTTTACTTTTCTTTGTTTTGAACATCCCAGTGGGTATTTTGCCATCCAGCATGGTGGATTTAGTATTATGTGAAAATACATAAGCGAGAAAAAAAGACAGCATGTAAAACCACAGGTAACCCAAGATAAGCATTTGACTAGCTGATTTAGGGATATCTACAATGCATGTAAATATGATTTTTTTACCTTGTGATGTAGTTTCTAGTTCTCTATCAGGGGTGACATCAAGAAAATTGACGCCTCAATTCAGAACTAAAACCACATCACAAGGTAAGACAAATGTCTTTTTTCCTTTTTTTCATTCAAAAATTTCATATTTACATGCATTATAGATATCGCAAAAAGACCAAGTGAAATGCTTAGCTTGGGTTGCCTGTGGTAAAACAAGCTAKACGCACTGAAGCAAAGAGATAAGCAATAAAGAAACAATATATAGAATGAAACAAAAAAGCTCAACAAAAGCCTCTACATTACCTATTCGTTTTGGTTTCGTCAAACCAAGGTTTTCCATTATTTTTACAAACTCTTCTTTACTTTTTGTTAGTCGGGGATTGTRTTTTAGTTCTTCTTCTACAGTGGTTGAAGCAAAGCCTGATGATAGTAGAAATAATTCAGAGAAAAAGAATATATGATTAAAAGACAAAAAAAGGAAGCGAAAAGGAAAGAGGAGAGAAAAGAATTAAATAACATTTCTTYGTTTTATTTTTTCCAAAGATGACAACTTGTCTTCGTGGTTTGTTTGTTTTTATTACTGATTCAATCTTTGTCGTTGTTTTAAAATGCTACTTGGACGAAAATTGCGAAACATTAAAAAAATAGTTGRAAATCAAATAGAACTATCCATATGGGTCTAATAATCATGAAGCCACAGATTTTAAGAAAACATTGATACAAATCCTTAATAATTTGGGCAAAAAATGTTGGAGTAGATGACGTCATTATTCTTCCATCTTTTGAATCAAAATTGCTCTGATGTGGGACAATTCCAAAACAAATATTTTCCCCAAATTGTTTTTAATAGATATATGTGAGTCATATATTTGTATTGCTTGAAGTTTTGAAATAAGGCCATTTTCATGCAAATAGTACTTTAAATGAGTTTATTGTATGACCGTGTATTTTGGAGTCTGGACGCGAGAAAATGAAGTGATCTGATTGGTTGATGTCGATTTTTCTCCAGTCTAGATTATCTTGAGTAGAGAGCGTGTGCTACATTACGATTTTTTTTATTTTTCTATCTAGACCGCGGCCTGGTTGACAAGACCTAACAGATCCTATCGGGTAACGCTCTACTATAAACGTTTCCACCCAAATCAAACCACCCRGGAGCAAGTATCATTGTTTGGTGTACTTTCATTTCATAGATGAATTCTTAGAAACAAAAGTTCTTTTTCCCACAGGATTTGAATTGGGTGGCAACTTACATGACAACCGTTAACCGATTAGTTCTAATTGAAGTCTTAGATTGGTTCATACGTCGCGTATCAATACTCCAATTTCGAGTTCTGGTTTGCTCTCCGTTAGCCTCAAAACCAAGCAACACATCCTTTTCTTTCGTTGATGACCCGAGGAAATGCATGGAATTTGTGAAGAAAGATAATAAAGTTGATTTGAGATCTCACGCTTTTAAGCTTACAAATCTGGCCCGTAGCAAGGTTAAACAAAGTGAGGGGGCCCACTTTTCAACGAGCCGAAAATGGCGTTTTGGTTTGATTGAGGTAGTGTCGAAACACAGTGAGTTATTGCGACTATAAGCATGTCAACTTATTCAGAGAGATTAAGCGCTCCTTCCAAAGAGGAAACACATTTCGGAAAACACTTACAGTTTTCCCATTTGATATAAAAATGTGAAACTTAAAATAGTTCAATCAAGAAACATTTTCACGGTGTCTGCGTTGACTTTGATGCCTGAATTACATGAAATGTCTTTCTCTGAGAAATACCCAAATAGTTCCTTTCTATTTTGCTTTGACGTAGTGACCTTATCTAGATTCGTTGCAATATCTAGAAGTTTCAAAGAATCTGTTTTTGTCCTTATGGACGTAGACTAACATCAAATGGTGAAGTCGTTCAGAGCCAGTTGTTGCCCCTAGGTAGGTTTTGACCCGCTTACTGCATTTGTTGCTTTCGTCACAAGCAGGATCCTTCCAAGGGTACATACTTTGGATAAGAGACACTTTTGTCCATGGTTAARTGATTGCAGTAATTGAATTAGATCATTTACATCAAATCTGCATAAATCAAATTCCATAGAACTGGCTTCCTGAGGTACTATGAGAAGTTTCATTTGTCCAGTCATATTTCCTTTTATTTAAGAAATATAAAACGGCGCGCGTGTCTCTGTCCTCTGATATAAACACGGTGGGAGTTCAAAAAACACGAGAGAAGCAAGCTTAGGAACACGAGCGTAGCGAGTGTTTCTCTTGCTTCTCGAGTGTTTTTCAACTCCCACCGTGTTTATATCAGAGGACAGAGACACAAGCGGCCGTTTTATAATTCTTTTATAAAATTTTTCGAGCGAAAGGAAAATTTTGCCGGTAAGCCGTGTCTCTGTCCTCTGATATAAACACGGTCGTCAGCCAATCAGAGCGCTCGTTATATATGAAAAATTTTATAAGTATGAATAAATTTACTACTTATACGGGCATGCAATTAGTAATATTGTGCACACAAATGAGGCTAACACAGAGCACTGGAGAATTCGAAACTGGATTATTATAAGATGGCCTGTGTTACATCGACGTATKAACCTGTTAAGATTAGGAGGAGCCGACGGGTTCCTGGGAGAAATATCTGTTCTTCTGTCCCAGCCAGCTGTAAGTCACAACTGGTTGCCAACGAGAAATTCAGGAAAAAAGAACTCTCCAGCCAAGGAATACTTTCTAAGAATTTTTGCCAGGAAAATAATAATTTCCTAACTAAAAAATAAAAGCCGTTTTTACCATAAAAACGTTTGCAAGGGACAAAATTATTTCAAAGAAGRAAGGGCGCCACATTTGCTTGTGAGGTTGTCAACAATGTGTTCGTATAAGAACAGTTATTTAGAAGAACAGACCCCGTCGGCTCCTCCTGTAAGTTTGACGTGCCTGTGACACGACAGGTATAAACTATTTCTTACCTTTGTAATCGTGAGCTGGGTACAATACAAAGTCACCAGGGAGTGACAGAATACGGCTTCTCACGGAATCATACAATTTCTCTGGGCTGCCTGTTATAAAAATGAACAACAATGTCGACTATCTAGTTATGTATAATGGAATCATAATCACCCATTTACACTTGCGATTTTTGCAGAGCGATTCTCGCGTCGGTTGTCGCGCGACCATCGCCTGAGTTTCGAACAGGCTTGAAAATTGGATGCAACTTCGCAGCGATTTTCCATCGTCTCAATAATCCCAGAGCTGTCTGTAAAATAGTCTCCTTCACGGATACCTGCGCCATCTTGAAAGGTAGCCGTGCCTTTGCACTGAAGCGAGACGACCGTTGAGCGTGCAATGATAGATACCTGTGAATAATTGTCTATAGGTGTGAAAGAAGGTTTCTATCATTGCACGCTCAACGGTTGTCTCGCTTCGATGACAAGGCACAGCTACCTTTCAAGATGGCTCAGGTAACCGTGAAGGAGACTATTGTACGATTTAAGTGGCACGAAAGCGAAAGTGACAATTATTGCGCTGCAAAAACCGTGCCTTAAAGATCGTATTTATATATCGTATTCATATCTTCTTTTGAAATTAGAGGAAGTCCAYTACCTACTAACCCCAGGTAAAACCCAAACACTGTCTGATTGTGGCACATATAAGCCGAACAGATTTGTAGTCTAAAAGATAGAGGAAGTTAGAAGTTAAAGCTGAGATGTACAAGCAA